TCTTCTTTGTTTCGCCCCCTGGGTCCCCAACGGGGGGGGGGGGGGGCGTCAATGCACTGGATGTTCTCAGTTGTTCCGAATAGTCAGACGGCATGGGACCCGAACAGTTGGTCACCAGCTTCACACCACCGTAGTTACAAGCGAGTAGAATTGCAATCTCAAACCAAACCAACTTTTTCAAGGTGATATGAATCGCAAGAGGCCACTGGATGTGGGGACACAACGAAGTCCCTGAGGTTCGATAGCATATGATGTGTAGTGCACTTGCTATTTCTAGGATGCTTTGACAATATATTTTTTGAAGTGAGTATTGTGGGATGATTGCACAAGAGTACCAATGTGCCTTTAACTACCGCGGGACGTTCCTTCGAGTCTACAACCCAAGTAATTGCGCCACGCGTCCAACATTCGAGCAAATTAACTGCTCTTGAAATCAACAATTGATTTTCTTTTCCGAGATCCACACTTATCTGATTGGGCTCAAACAGAGTGAAGGCGGTATTGAGCTGCTCCATACTACTTATTTTTTAAACATACCGTTGCTTGGAACGCTGTAAATCGCTGTAGTTCTGCTCTTAATAAGACATATCACTCATTCACGTGTTCATCATTTTTGTCACCTTTGTATCATCGGTCCACTACAGTTTGGAACTAACCCACCGCGAACATCGACTGTAATTGCCGTTGAACAAGAGTTCTCCACCAGCAGTCTTAGTGTACGAAGCCGGTTTATGTAAGCCGTTAAATATTTAGATCGATTTATTCGCTCCCAGCCGACCATCGAAGCGAAAACAAACAAACTCGGTTATCTGGCGACGAATTTGGGCAGTTATAGTTAGCAAGGATTGGGTTGCTTTTCAGGAAGCTAGAACCGTGAATGATTCAGCTTTTGTGGATATGTCGCAGCGTTTCAGATAAACGGTGTTTTTTTACGGACATTTGAAAGCCACATTCTGGCTGGAATGGCATGTCAAACAGGACGTAGAAATCCTAAGAACGGATACCTGTTTCCTGACCAGACTTACAAATGTTTGTAGGAGTGTTGTCTGCCCCTCTTAAGCGCAAGACAAGTAACAATATTTGACCACCGGGTGTCGTTTTTTCGATAGTCACTTGCCTAATTTTGCGGACACAATGAGCTTTCCTGGGGTTTTGACAGACGGTCTCGTATAAACAGAAGACGCGTAAAGTACGATACGTCTCAGAATGTTTGTTGGGATCAGGTTTGCACTGATTGTTCAAGGAGCGCATCGATTCATGAAAACTGACATGCTTGTCTATAGACGTACTAGACTACTCATTAGGTTGCTGAAGTCTCTTCGACAGCCCACGACCGGTTTTGCTCACCTTGGTAGGCACAGTCCCCGAGAGATTCAGCCGAGCACCAAGTGAGTTTCCTGCAAAACAAAATAGGTCTGAAAATGAGTGTATTTCGTTAGCATGTTTTTCATTTCAGTGAATCATCATCATCAGCTGTGATAACCGTGTACTCGTCGTACAGTGGTTGTAACTGCTGCAGTTTCGTTCACCGATGATTTGCTGATAAATCGGTGCATAAATCCAGTATTGTCAGTGGGCTGTCAAGTGGGGGGATTGGGAAGGAAGCTGTGCATTGAAGTCAATAGCTTGGATGCATGAGCGCCATGGGGTGCGCGACTGGGTCATGTCTGACAACCTCTCTAACCATTGATATGGTCCTTCTCGGGTCTCCATCCAGGAAGCCTGCAGTGACCAGTGCAGCTGAGTTTGCTGATAATGGCTTTTATCCCTCGCTGCCAAGTCGTTGTTTGACTGCCTTTGGCCCTCTTCCACCCTTCACGTGGTTGTGCAAAGGAGCCCTTCAAGGAATTCGGTCAACTGGCATACGCAACCCGTGGCCAAGGCAGCGCAACCGATGCAGTGTGATCACTTCATCTACCGAGAGTCAATGTCCGAGCCGCAAGTTTAGCTTGCAGTATGTATGCTGCAACTCTGACTTTTAAGGCGTAAACAGCTAGTATTTGGCTCCTGATGGCGGTGGTTAGGGTATGAGAAGCTGTAAAGCAAGGAAATGAGGGGGAATATCTTGCGAAGGCCTCCGAAAGCCTTTAGGTGGGGAAGCCGTTACGGCATATTTTAGCGTAGCTGAGATTCAAAGTATTTGTGCCTAAATAAAGATGAGACCTAATGTTTTGGTATTTGGGGGGCCACAAGAAGTGGTCCAAGTTACGGCAATTAATCTCATTTGTGCACGAAATCGGTTTTGAAGGGAGACTCAGGTAAATCCAGATGAATCTCTAGTTCATAAGAGTTAAGGAGTTTTCACCAACATTATAAGTAGTATGTTGCAACTGGTACAAAATTAGCATTGTTAACATCTCATCCAATGCAACTGAGAAGTTAGATTGTCAGTCGAGGTTGAATGGAGAGTTTTTCGTTGACTTTTATGAACAGTGAATTTTTCAGGAAACTCATTTAAATTGGTCTCTTCAAACAGCGACCCCCAAGATGCAGAAATCCAATTGGCACTCTCTCGGAGGAATAATCCAACGTACCTGACTGATTTCCGGTAGACAGTGGTGGTGATTTACTTGACATCAGCAGTGGCTGTAGTCACCTATAGGTATGAACTTAACAACTTGACAGTGAAGTAACCTAAACAGACTCTCGATTGCGTAATAGCAGTTTTGATATTCTTTCAAACATAGTTGCTTTTTCAGCGTGTTGACCAAGGCAGAGCAAAAGGCTGAATGCGGAACGGCATCATATTACTGGTTCCGGTTTTGCCAACAGATGGACTCAGCAACAGCAGTTTTTACTGCTTATGCGCGACGTAGCTGTTGGAACAGTGAGCGACCTTTGATAGCGGCGTGCCCTAACGCTGATTAGGACACCGCTGCTACGTTTCGGCAGCCAGAGGAGATGAATATGGTGTAGCACCTGCGTCTGACTCAACTCTTGATTTTAATGCCACGTTGTTTCGTTGGTTTAGATTTTGCTAACATGCGTTTTGCGCCAGAAGAGGTCAACTGACTGATGGTGGCACAGTTTCCGAGAGAAAAAAAAACAAAGAACTAGGTATCTCAAACGTCTTACGAGTCATCATGGCCACTGACCAACCTGCCCCATCGGTATCTCAAACGTCTTACGAGTCATCATGACCAACCTGCCCCATTCATCAGGACCGATCAGCTCCTGACGTTTAAGTAAAAACATTCCACGAGTACTCCTTTGAAGAGGATTTTTTTTCGCCCAAAACGGAGAACCTAATATCCTAGCTTGATTTTGGGAATTCACCAGTTCCTTCTGTTACCACGCACGGGTGAGAATGGCAATTCGGAAGTAAAGCTTTCGGATTTTGTTTGCGTACATTCACCACAAACAACCAAATCACTTTCACTCGGTTTTTTATCAACTTACATCAAAGTCCCGCATTGTAGGGTAACCTTGTGGGATAAAATGTTCTCCGGGTGAAGCAGCCAGCTGGACGCACGAACTT